AGGTAACCAAAAGTTGTACATGTGGCTAGTTGCACACTTACCTTGTACAAGTTATATGTAATGTATTAACTAAAAACACAAATAAAGGCAGTAGCTCCATAATATCGGCCTTAAAAAAAAAAATAAAAATAAAAAAAATAACTCTAACCCTAAATCTAACCTTTAATACTAAAAAAGCTTCAAAAAATGTCTTTTAAAAAATTTTAAATTTTCTTAAAAATTAGAAAAATTTTGTTTTAATCTAATTTTATTTTAATCTGTCACAATATACAGTATAAATTTAGACTAATTTTTTGCAGATTCTTTTTTTTAGAATTTTAAACCTTTTAGCTATTTCTAGATTGCTTAGAATTTTAATATATTTATTTTTCAGTATGTTATATTTTTAATTTTTTGTTAACAATAACCTACTTTTAATAAAACCAAGAATAATATTTACTTTGTATATGCTTTGATTTTTGGAATTTAAATTAGGGTTTTTTAGGGTTAGCATTTTTTTAAATTTTAAAAGCAAATAACTTTTAATCTTCAAGTTTTTAAAAAATAATTTTATTATAATAATAATAAAATTATTTTTTAAAAACTTGAAGATTAAAAGTTATTTGCTTTTAAAATTTAAAAAAATGCTAACCCTAAAAAACCCTAATTTAAATTCCAAAAATCGAAGCATATGGTTATACTATAGTGTTTTTTGTAATTTAATTTTGTTGTTCATTGACTAAGAAATTATCAAAAAAAGTTAAATTGTCTTATTTCAACTTTATATAACTCTATTTTTAATTAAAATTATATAAATTAAACATAGTTTTAGATTAAAAATATATTACCAACCAGTAATACTTAAAATTTTTCAATTTTTTGATTCTAAAATTAAAATAAAAAAATTTTATTAAGTTTAGACCACAAATAATAATATTATTATAATATTGTATCTGAATCTCTAGTCTTAATATCCTTTGGATATAAGATTCAAATATAATTTTCTTTTCTGTATATTAATCTTGTAAAGAAACTCAATTAAATTTCAATAAAATTAGAGGCATGGCCTTACTATAAAAATTAAAAAAAAAAAAAAATTTTATCAAATTTGATTAACATACTATATTTTAATTTAAAATTTTTTAAAAATAATTTGTTTTTGTTTTATTGACTTATTTCGCCAAATCTTTTAGATTAATACGTATATATATATATCAAAAATACAAATGTAATAATATAAATTTACAAAGTTTTTTATTAAAAAATCTCTGTTGTTAAATTCATTTTGATATTATATAAATTAAAAAATAATTTAATTTGTATCGAATCTTTAAAAATAATTTATTTAAAACTATGAAAATCGCCATGACTTTTGATAGGTAATGTAGTTCAAAGTAAAAATATTTAATTTACAACAAAAAAAAAAAAATCACAATATTGCAAAACCAAAGACCCAAACCCAAGACCCACAAGAGAAGTTACAATCACCATGGATTTCCAAATCCAACATTGGCACCTTGATTAGGCTGTTCGAATAAATTTAACCCTTGTGATTGTTGAAGGAGCTGCTGCTCTCGTTGAATGTCTATGAGAGATTTTGGTTTGTTAATATCGCTTGGAATCATTGTCTGTTGTGTTTGAAAAGGGTTTTTGCTGACTTGGCTGCTAAAGCTGCCTGTATCGAGATCAATAAGACTATTGCTAGTGGGAAGGCTAGTCGTTGTATAAGATGAAGTAGAAAATGACGATGCAGGCTGTGACAGAGAAATCGTTTAAATTTTAGTTTATATTGAAGCTCAAAGAAATAATAAACATAAAGAAACTTTACCTGATTGATGTTTGTACTAAATGTATTAAGGAAATCATTTTTAGCAGGTGGAGAATTGAAACTAGACGGAAGGGTATTAAAAGCTCCGCCTCCAGGGTTGTTTGTGTCTCCACTATTAAGGAATGGATTGGCCTGACTAATATCGCCCGTTGAATTGGACCTTCTCGGAGGATGTATATTGCTTGAGGGCTGATTTACCACGCCATTGGCAAATCCTGTGCCGCTATTTCATCAAATATCATTGATTGATTAATTTATGGAACACACTTTTTTTAAGCGAAGCTTTTATATAAGAACTTACGTTGGGACACGAAGATTACCAATATTACCA